AGACGACCGATTGTGTTGCGATTGAAACGTTGTAGTTTTAGTTTTTTGTTATTTTCTTTGAACCTATCTACGTGACTTTACCGAAAGACCCAAAAAAATGAATTCTTGCAGTCACGAAAGCTTAAGTCAAGACTTAAGTGAGAATGTAATTTTCTAATGTATTTTCTGTAATGATTACGTTTTCTAAAATCTGTCGTTGTGGAATGTTCTGATGTCTGCTGGCTCAGTCACCCTTCAAAATAGAGCTTCTTAGCTCAATGGGCTTTACTCGCGATAAAAAATTCAGATTCTGAAGTGCATTGGTGTGTGTGATAGCCCTGGTTGGTACTTCAGGTGCAATGACAAGAAGCCACAAACCCCGCTACCGATGGGCCCTGTGACCGCCCCCACAGCTGGTGTTTTGTTGCGAGCCTCACCAGAATGTAATTTCGCTCGTAGTCGTCGTATCCATCATTGTTGAATCCCTGAGATTTGTTGAAAAGTGCAAAGTACCACACTTCCTGCATGGCTGCGAGTTCTAGCTTCTCACGGTGGGTCAAGTGAGGGCCAAAGAGAGCCATGATTTCTGCAGACATGAGAATAACGACAACATCTGTGTGATCCCAAAGTTGAGCGATTTGTAGGAAAATATTACAGGATTGGGATGTTTTGGCCAATACCAGTTATGTCTGTATGTATGTTCAACTTCTTTTGCACTGTACGTAGCCAATTTTGCCAAATGGAAGGACATTAAACTAAACATGAAACGTCCTAAAGAAAGTAGTTTTCAATCTAGATGATTTAAAAGTGTATAGCTCCAGTGGCTTCCTAATATCGGAAGTGCATCTGAAAGCGTGTGATGTGCTGAGGCCAGAGCACAGATAATCATCCCCATGCAACATGGCCACCATGATGCAGTCCCCCATGCAACATGGCTACCATTAAGTCCCACATGCAACACTGCCAACATGAAGTCCCTCATGCAACGTGGCCACCTGGATATCACCCATGCATCATGGCCGCTATGAAATCTCCAATGCATCACGGTCACTGTGACATCCACCATGCAACATGGCCGCTATGAAATCTCCAATGCATCACGGTCACTGTGACATGCACCATGTAACATGGCCATTGTGATGTTCCACCATTCACCATGGCCCTCTGTGACGTCCCTCATTACTGTTCTTACCTTGCGGTGATTTGCTGCAGATGGAGGCGGTGCCCTCTGAGGACAGCGCACTCCACGTGGTGCAAGATTCGCCCTTACTCCTCGCCTCTCCAGCTCGGCTCATCTACACACACACAAAGACAAAGGTCCACCACGTAATCTTTAGCAAGATGTTGGTGAAAGCGCAGGAGGCGAGCACTGAGCCAGGATCTCTGAGATCCTGGGCTCCACAAACAGGAGGGTCCTGCCAAGATGTTGTGTCAGTTCTCAGCGTTGTGATATTTGGACAATATCTGATGTCACACTTGGATTTACAATGAGACATGTGTGGATTTATAGGACACACACAGGTTAATGGCATCCTTCAAACTGATAAGAGAAGTGGGGCTGGGCCAGGACATGCCACGGCCAGGAGGAACAACGATGGCCGATGGTCAAGAAGAATAACGGAGCTGCAGCCAAGTATCGGAGCACGTTTGAGAGGACAGCTTCCAGAAAGATGGAGCGACAAAATCGGTGCTTGGTGGATTATGCCATCGCAGGATTGTGAGGGGTAGCAGGAACTCAGGGAAGGAGGCCTTCATCCAGTAGTGGATAGATAAAAGTACTGTAGATTATTCACGTGTAGACAGGCAGGTACACAGACAGGATCTCAGGGGAGATACTCTGATAGATGCACAGACACTCAGGCAGGCAAATAGATGTACACTCAGGTATATGGATAGGCGACAGGTAGCCACACGCAGAGTGGAGAGCACACGTCCATCCATACTTCACCACACGAGTCGAAGAGCCACACGTACCTCCATGGCAGCAACTTGCAGAACAGGGTGCACAGAACTCACAGCGTCTCTCGCACAGTCTGGGTCTCTGCGTGCGGAGCAGGAGACGAAGACGAGGATCACAAAGAGTCAAGGGGGCGTGAGGGCTCCCAGATCTCAACACGAGTCACAACACGGGTTTACATCCTCACCATGAACCCACATCATCAACACAGACTCACATCATCACCACTCACAACACGAAATACAAAAACAACAACAACCGACATTCGCCACTAAGTAGGGGTGATGACACCACGGCGCCTGTGCCGGGCCAGGTGCACTTTTAGTCCATGTGAAGTGTCGAAGGCTGTCAAGACGTCACGGGATAGACCCAGGTTCCAAAGGTTGGCTGAGATGACTGGCAGATACACCAGCTGTATCCCCAACTGTGCCAACTTGTTGAATTTTATCCGCTACTCGTTGTGAGCGTCACTCCTCTGTCCTCAGTTGTTGTTGGAAGGCGACTGCCTCCTACTGCCCGGTATGATCCTTCACGAGCTTCCTCGTGAAGGATGCTATCCACACCACTGATACCAGTCTTCTGCAAGTCCACTCAACTCCACATCCTCCCATACAGCATCAGTCCATATTTTTGACAGCCCATGTCGTGCCCGTTTAGCCCCCTTTATGCAACCAAAAGAAACTGCTTGGGTATGCGGGCTACAAGACCCAGCCAATGCAGCCTTGCCTGCCGGAGGAGCTTACTGGTGGGAATGTCTCCAGATCTTTCAAGCATTTGTGAGCCCCTCACACAATCCAGCCTGGTTAAACCCAGGATGGATCGTACAATCAACAACACCATCATCAACACCACCAACACCAACAATACCACCACCAACACGACTATCACCACCATCAACACCATAACCAAAAACATCACCAACACCACCCCCATCAACATCACCTCCATCAACACCACTAACACTACCACAACCAACACCACCACCAAGACCACCACCACCAACACGACCACCAACAACACCACAATCAACAACACCACCATCAACACCAACAATACCACCACCATCAACACCACCAACACCACCACCAAGACCACCACCAACACAACAACCACCAACACCACAATCAACAACACCACCATCAACACCACCAACACTAACAATAAAACCACCATCAACATCACCACCACCAACACCACCACGAAGAACACCAACAACACCACCACCACCAACAACACCACCATCACAAACACTCCAACACGACCACCATAACCACCAACAACACCACCATCACAAACAACACCACCAAGACCACCACCATCAACACCACCAACACCAACAATACCACCACCATCAACACCAACAACACCACCACCACTAACAACAAATATAAAGATCCCCCTTATAGCTGAAATAGACTGTTGGGGCAAGTGCTGTTAGCCAGCAGCACCTATGAAGGGCAGAACGGCACACGAGGGGGTGGGTGGCCAGCACCACGCCCGGCCGCCTTTGTGTTTACACACACACAGACTCACACACACACACAGACTCACACACACACAGACTCACACACACACAGACTCACACACACAGACTCACACACACACAGACTCACACACACACAGACTCACACTCACACAGACTCACACACACACACAGACACACACACAGACTCACACTCACACAGACTCACACACACACAGACTCACACACAGACTCACACACACACAGACTCACACTCACACAGACTCACACACACACACAGACACACACACAGACTCACACACACACAGACTCACACACACACAGACTCACACACACACAGACCCACACTCACACAGACTCACACACACACAGACACACACAGACTCACACACACACAGACTCACACACACACAGACTCACACACACACAGACTCACACACACACAGACTCACACACACAGACTCACACAGACACACACACACAGACTCACACACACACAGACTCACACACACAGACTCACACACACAGACTCACACACAGACTCACACACACACAGACTCACACACACACAGACTCACACACACACACACAGACTCACACACACACAGACTCACACACACAGACTCACACACACACAGACTCACACACACAGACTCACACACACACAGACTCACACACACACAGACTCACACACACACAGACTCACACACACACAGACTCACACACACACACAGACTCACACACACACACAGACTCACACACACACAGACTCACACACACAGACTCACACACACACAGACTCACACACACACAGACTCACACACACACAGACTCACACACACACACACAGACTCACACACACACAGACTCACACACACACAGACTCACACACACACAGACTCACACACACACAGACTCACACACACACAGACTCACACACACACAGACTCACACACACACAGACTCACACACACACAGACTCACACACACACAGACTCACACACACAGACTCACACACACACAGACTCACACACACACACAGACTCACACACACAGACTCACACACACACACACACAGACTCACACCATTTCTCACTTTCGCCAGATGCTCCCCCCGACTCTCTAACGGACAAACTGCCTGAGGGAGACACGAGGGGGCGGTACCAAGTGACCACGCCCACTATGACGTCGCAGTCCTGAGCCCCTCCCCCCCACCGGAGCCCCTCCCCCCACCGGAGCCCCTCCCCCCCACCGGAGCCCCTCCCCCCACCGGAGCCCCTCCCCCCCACCAGAGCCCCTCCCCCCCACCGGAGCCCCTCCCCCCCACCGGAGCCCCTCCCCCCCATGCCCAACCCCTGGCCCCGCCCCTCCCCCCGCTGCTACTTCCGCTGAGGCCGGGGCGAGTGGAGGCGGCGCTGTGCATTGTGGGTGGCGAGCGGACGGTTTGGATTCCCGCTCGCGGCCACCGCCGGCGGCTCGCTGGCTGGGCCTCCTCTAGGTCGACTCAGCCCGAACAAGGCGAGCACCTTGCACGCTGTGGACGCAGCAGCAGCAGCAGTGGCGGTGGTGGGGGGGGGCAGAGGAGGCGCCTGCTGAGTTCACGGCCCTGCTGCTGCTGATGAGGAGAGGCACTGCCAGATTGTGGCTGATGGGATGAGTTACATTTAGTTGTTTGTGTCTCTGGAGGGGCGGATTTGTTGTCGTGGCAGAAATGGCCTCGACTAGAGGCCGCGATGTGGAGTGTTTGGTCTACTCTTCCACGCTGGGCGTGCCCGCACTTTACCCCGATACACACGCGGGGCGTGAGCTCACTGGGCTTGCAATGCAGAGGTGCAGGTTCGAGTCCATTTCACACTCAGCCACTCGGCCACTCACTCAGCCACTCACCCACCCACTCAGTCACTCACCCACTCACCCAATCAGGAACTCACTCAGCCACTCACCCACTCACCCACTCACTCAGCCACTCACCCACTCAGCCACTCACCCACAGAGGGATAAAGACCCTTTATGCAGTGGTTGTGTAGTATCTGCGTCAATGTTTTTGTTGTTTGGTTATGGTGGTGGTTATGGTAGTGGTTATGGTGGTGGTTGTGGTGGTTGTGGTTATGATCATGGCTTTAGTTTTGGTTTTATAGGTGGTTGTGGTGGTGGAGGTTACAGGTGTGGTGTAGAAGGGTATGTTGGTTGTTATGGTAGTTGTGGCTCTGGTTGTGGTGCTTGTGGTGCTTTAGGTTGTGGTTATAATTGTGGTTGTGTAGGTTGTGGTTATATGTGCGGTTGTGGTGTTTGTGGTTATATTTGTTATAATTGTGTAGGTTGTGGTTGTAGTCGTCATAGTTGTGGTGTAGGTGGTTATGATGGTTGTTATGGTAGTTGTATTATTTTGAACTTCAATCGCACCCTACCCAGCCGACCGTGCTAATTGGAGGTGTGGTTATCGTTGTGGGTATTTTATGGTTGTTTTGGTTTTAGTTGTGGTGGTGATTGTGGTTGGTGCAGGGGCTGGGATGAAGGATGCGTTCCGTGTCCTCTGCCCATGCGGCTCCAACAACGATTGCTCCAGCCAGCACTGCCGCCCCTGTGGTCACATGACCTTGCCTCCCAGCATACCTTGCAGTCGTCATTGATTCTGGGCCATCTTTACCTCCTGCATCTCTATAGGAGCTCTCACTTCCTCCACACTCTCTCCTCCTACCTCTGCTCTCTCTCTCCCCGTGTCTCCATCCCCCCTCTTCTTTCTGGAAGGTTCAGGGGTCTGACTGGCTGCACTCTGACCTTTGACCTTGGCTGTCACCCGAGTGGGATTATCTAACAGCAGTCAACCCAAATTATCAGGATCTGTCCCGTGACCTCCTCCTATACCTAGCCTGGAAAAGCAGTCAACCTGTGGCACCCAGATCTGTCCCGTGACCTCCTGCTGCACCTAGCCTGGCACAGCAGTCAACCCATGGCACCTGGGTCTGTCCCGTGTCCTCCTCCTCCTGCACCTAGTATGGCACAGCAGTCAAGCCATGGCACCTGGTTTGTTGTGATTACATTACCGCCACATAGTGGCGAATGGCGGCCATTGTCGTGAGCTTGTGGGCTTGTGTGTGAGTAATGGTGATTGAGTGTGTGACTATCATGTCGTGTCTGTGTGAGTTGGTTGGTAGGGGTGTGTTTATGAGGGTGAGTGTGTGTGGATGTGTGAGCATCATGGTGAGTATGTGAGTGATGGTATGTGACAGTGTGAGTTTGATGGTGATTGTATCATGGTGAGTGCAAGCAATACTGAGCTTGACTTATTTCCCCCCCTCCCTTTACCCACTCTTCCTCCCTCTCCCTGTCTCCCCTCACTCTCCCCCACCCACTCTACCTCCCTCACCTTCCCTGCCTCTCTATCCCTCTCCTTTCTCCCGTAACTACCTCGCCTGTTATACAGGAGGTCGTGGGTTCGATCCCTACCCTCACACCTGCTATATATTTAGAGTTTGCGTGTATCTCTCCCTCTCTCCCCGTGGTCACGTTCAGAGTGTTTGGTTTCTATAAATGTCGACGTGATGATAGGCCACTTCGTTGACCTATCATTTGTGGCATTTTCCCTTCTGAAGAAGAGCTGTGTAGCTCGATGGGCATTACCTGGAAAAATTGAAATAATTTAGTTTCCTCTTTTCCTCCTCCCTTCCTCCCTCTCCATACCCCTCCCCCCAGCACAACAACAAGAAGCAGGAGGAGGATGGTTTTGTCTCCCAAGCCGAGCACTTCCGGGTCCACCTTCATGATCCTCCCTCTGCCCCGGGGGTGGGGGCAGGGAGATCCCCTCGCACAGGGTTACGGTACCCCACCCACATACACACGGGCTTACGGTGCCCCCACTACACATACGCACAGGGGTACGGTACCCCCCACTCACATGCCAGGCAATGTGTACCCCACAGAGACCCAAAGACTCACACATAGATCCATAGACTCACACAGACCCATTGACTCGCACAGAAACTAATTAACAAAAAAAAAACCCGTCGAAACACGGACAATATACTTACACAAAGACACAGACTCGCACAGACTCATCCACTCGTGCACCCACCCACTCAACGACTCACAGGCTTACGCGCTCACCCAATCCCTCACATACTCACTCAGCCGCTCACTCAGAAATTCACTCAAGAACTCGCTCACCCATTTACCCACCCACTTGCTCACCCACTCGTGCATCCACTCACAGAATCACTCGTAAACTCACCCACTCACACCTCAGAAACTGACTCACAAAATAATTCATCCACTCACTCGTGCACTCACTCGCCCACTTACCCATGCGTGCACAGATTCACCCACTTACTAACTCGGTCACAGACTCTCTCTCTGATAGACTCACTCATAGACTCACTCGCTCACAGACTCAATCACTCACAGACTCACTCAAGCTCTCACCCACTAACTTATTCAGAAACTCACTCAACCACCGACCCACTTACTTAAAAACTACCTCACTTATCCGCACCCATTCACTGACCTACTTACTCATCCACTCGCTCAGCCACTCACTGACCAACTCACTCACTCACAAACTCAGTCGCTCACTCATCCACTCACTCCGAAACTCATTCATCCACCCACCGACTCACTCGCAACCATTAACTCATCCACTCAATAATTTCATTCATTCACTCATCCACTCACTCAACCATTCACTCATTCAACAACCCACTCACTCACCCACCCACTTGGAGACTCTCTCTCACCCACTCACTCACCTACTCGCCCAGTCTATTAGCCACTCATTCAGAAACTCACTTACCTACTCACTCACCCACACAATCGATCAATCACTTACTCACCCACTCACTCATCCACTCTTCTACTCACTTAAGAACCCACTCCCTCAACCACCAAGTCAGAATATCACTCCTCCACTCACTCACCCATTTACTCACCCACTCGCTCACCCACTCATTCAACAACTTTCTCACTCGTGGACTCACTTTCTTATCCACTCACTCATCCATTCACTCACCCACTCGCTCACCCACTCGCTCACCCACTCGCTCACCCACTCGCTCACAGACTGACTCAGAAACTCACTCATCCAAGCATTCACTCACTGACTCACCCATTCATTTAACCATTCACTCACAGACTCACTCGCTCACAGACGCACGAAGAAGCTCACTAACCCACGAACCGATTCAGAAACTCAGTCAACCACCAAATCACCTACTCAAAAACGCCTTTACTCATCCGCACTCACTCACTAACCTATCTACTCATTTACTCAATCAGCCACGCTTACTCACTAACTCGCTCACTCATGCACTCAGAAAATCACTCATTCACTCACTTAGAAACTCCTACAATCACTGACCCACTCGCTCAAAAACTCACTCATCTACTCTCTCGCTCACTTTCTTATTTACTCACCCACTCCCTCACCAATTCACTCGTTTCCCCACTCATTCCTTCAGTCACTCACTCATTGAGCAACTCGGTCAATCATTATCTAATTCAATCACTCACCCATTCACTCGAGAGACTCACTCGCTCACTCATCCTGCACTCACCCACTAACCCACTCAGAAATTCACTCAGCTACTCACTCACCACTCATTCACCCACTCATCCACTCATTGAATAAATCACCTACTCGCCCACTTTCTCACCCACTCAATCAGAAACTCATTCACCTACTCACCCACATACTCACTCACCCACTTACACTCGGGAGTGGGTGGTTTTAGAGTTCAGTGTTCGTCATTGGGACTCCCATAGGGTTCAATGTTGCTCACTGGGTCTCCCATAGGGTTGAGTGTTAATAAATGGGTCTCCCATAGAGTTCAGTGTGACTCACTTGGGCTCCCATCGGGTTCAGTGTTAATCACTGGGTCTCCCATAGGGTTCAGTGTTAATCACTGAGGCTCCCATCGGGTTCAGTGTTAATCACTGGGGCACCCATAGGGTTCAATGTTAATAAATGGGGCTCCCATAGGGTTCAGTGTTAATCACTGGGTCTCCCATAGGGTTCAGTGTTAATCACAGACCCATAGATTCCTAAAACCCTAACCCTATAAACACGTAAGGCTCTATACCCCTAACCCTCAAAACCCCTGTACTCCAAAAACTATAACCCTCTAATCCCCTTCACCATTAACACCCTAACCTTTTAATCCCCTTAACCCTTAAACCCCTCACCCTCTAATCCCCTCACCCTCGAAACTCCTATGCCTCTAAATCCAACCCCCTAACCCTTTGAACCCCTAACTTTCTCCAATCCCATAATAAATGTTGTTTTTGCGGTAAGATCGTGTGAATATAAATGTGTCTTAAAACCCGTCACCACCCGACACAGCCAATTAATAAAGTTTGTCACATGAATAAAGAGTGCCAATTAGTTTCTACTTTAGCACATCGGTGTGTTGGAGACTAACCCAAATAAACCTTTATTATGAATAACCCCTCAACCCCATAACTCCCCCTGCGCCACCCCCCATGTCCCCCCTCACCCCCCTTACCCCCCTCGCCTCCCTCAGCTGCTACTTCCGCTGAGGCCGGGGCGAGTGGAGGTGGCGCTGTGCATTGTGGGTGGCGAGAGGCTTATTTGGATTCCCTCTCACGGCCACCGTCGGTGGCTCGCGAGCTTCTGAAGTGGCGGCTCGCTGGCTGGGCCTCCTCTACGTCGACTCGGCCAGAAGACACATCAGCAGTGGCGGTGGTGGGGGGGAGACGAAGGAGGCACCTGGCCCACAGGTGCCTCCTTTGTCTCACTCCTCTCTCTCCCCGTGTCTCCCTCCTCTCTCTCCCCGTGTCTCCCTCCTCTCTCTCCCCGTGTCTCCCTCCTCTCTCTCCCCGTGTCTCCATCCTCTCTCTCCCCGTGTCTCCATCCTCTCTCTCCCCGTGTCTCCCTCCTCTCTCTCCCCGTGTCTCCCTCCTCTCTCTCCCCGTGTCTCCCTCCTCTCTCTCCCGTGTCTTCCTCCTCTCTCTCTCCCCGTGTCTCCATCCTCTCTCTCCCCGTGTCTCCCTCCTCTCTCTCCCCATGTCTCCCTCCTCTCTCTCTCGTGTCTCCCTCCTCTCTCTCCCCGTGTCTCCCTCCTCTCTCTCCCGTGTCTCCATCCTCTCTCTCCCCATGTCTCCATGTCCCCTTCTCTCTAGGTGGTGCAGGTTCAGGAGTTTACTGGCTGCACTCCGACCTTTGGCCTTGGCTGTCGCCCAAGTGGGATTGTCGCACAGCAGTCAACCCATAGTATCAGGATCTGTCCCGTGACCTCCTCCTATACCTAGCCTGGAAAAGCAGTCAACCTGTGGCACCCAAATCTGTCCCGTGACCTCCTCCTGCACCTCGCCTGGCACAGCAGTCAACCCATGGCACCTGGGTTATTGTGATATCACCATCATGTAGTGGCAAATTACGGCTGTTGTCGTTGTGAGTTTGTAGGTTTGTGTGTGAGTAATGGTGCGTGTGTGACTTTCATGACGTGTGTGAGAGTAGGATGGTCGGGGTGTGTGAGTATCATGGTGAGTGTGTGGGTGTGTGTTAGATGGCTGGCAATGTTGATGGGTGGTGATGATGCAAGCCTTGTGCTCGAGAATAGCACACTGAAACTAATATCACGTAGCTACTTCTGAGTACCCTTCAAGTGCTGTCTGGTCCACATCGTAAAGGGGAGGACTTTCCCACCTGTTCTTTATTTAAGAGCAACGTACATGGAGAACCACATTGCAGCCATCTATGTCCATCTATGTCCTTGTCCCGCCACACACACAGCCGGGACACCGCACACACGAGCCAAGGCACATTTAACCAACCCAGCCAGCACTCGCAAGCAATGCAACGTTACGTTGTGTCCTCATGAGTTGATTTCACAAAGTTTATAGTAACAACAGCAACAAAAATATTGATCCTAATTCTTAACCGGGTGGCCTTAAGACTTGGCACGTGCAGGTTTTGTTCATTGTCTGCACCAGACCCCTGCAGCTGTCTCATTCTGGGTCAGCTGCCCTTTACATGTCCTGGAAACCATGGAAAGGTCATCACATGAGGACCGCCTGGATGAAAACCAGCATGGAAGGGGTCCAGTGTGGGGCCGGCTATGCTAATGGAATAATCCCATGTGTGTGTGTGATGTGAGGTCTCCTGGCAGCAGTCATTCTCCGCTGCAGTGCTGGCATCTGCTGCTCCGTTTCATACCTCAGCTGTGGTCCCAGTGGCACCGTGGGTAGTGTGGTGATAGCAGTCACGGTTGGCACCGATCCACGACCACCACCCCTACTGGGCGGTGGACCTGCCTCCACAAAGTAGCATGTGGCGGAGGAGTGAGGTGAACGCTCTCGCCATGCGAGCGAAGCCCCCTCGCTTGCTCTTCTTTTCGTGCATCTCCACCTGCACCTCCTCCATATTCTCCTCTGTCTCATCCTCCTCCATCCCCTCTTCTTCATCCTCCACCGCCATCTTCTCCTCTACCTCCTTCTCTTCCTGTGCCACCTCTGTCTTCTCCATCTTCTCCTCCACTAGCACCATCTCTTCCTCCTTCATCTTCTCCTCCTCACCCTCCTGCACCACCATCTCCTCCACCCTCTTCTCTTCCTCCACCACCATTGTTTCCCGCTTTGTCCGTCGTCTCCATCTCCTCCACCACGACCATCTGTTCATCCTTTGTTGTCGCCTTTTCCTCCATCTCCGTATTGTCTTTATCCTCTCCCTCCGTGCTCTCCATTGTCACCATCACAATCTTGTCCTCCTTTGCCTTCTCTTCCTCCGTCTCTACTTCATCCTCAATCTCCTTCACCTCTTCCTTAGTCTCCTTCTGCACAACCTCTGACTTCGTTTCAAAGGCCTGGAGGAGTGAGGAGGAGGGCTGCTTTGGCTCAGATCTGTGAAGAGACAAACACGACATCGTTCCACTTTCCTGCTACGGCAGACATCGCCATCTCCCATGGTCCGTGGGTGTAATGCGTGGTGGATTAATTCAAGCTTAATACAAACAGCAATAACGACATGGCCAGTGAGTGTGCTTAGCATTGGCGCTGTCATTCTCATGGGGCAAGGCTATCCTTGAGATTGATTCAGCTGTGTCTCACACAGACTGTTGTAGTTTCACAGTAGTGAGTGGCCTTGCTGTGTCAATTTAGCTGAATCATTTGTAGTGACATTTATCTTTCTATGTGTATTCTAATTGATCCCTTGGACATAATGGCCTACGCATTTAAAATGACATCGGTGGAGATCCTGAACATCCACTGTGACGGAATGGGTGTGTATCTTTGTGGTTAATGCGGCAGCAGTAATATCCAGGGCGGGAAGCAAGATCTGAACTGTAAGTGGTGAGCGATGAGTGCGCGACCCTTTGGCTGCTTCAACCGATCCACGATTTCGATCAACTATCCGACAGTGATTTCAGGTCGACAGAGCCGCCTCCCTTGACGTCGAAGGCATCTCAGAGTGCATTGAGCGCAATGAGCCACTCACATCTCGCATCTCTCATCTCAACGCATTTGAAATTGGACACCCCTCCCAGTGGTCGCTGTCTCTGTGCATTACAAGGCAACTTGGCAGCTGGCCTGGAAACAGGCAATTATTACGGTGGATGGAAGGTTAAATGGTGAAATATGGCCGCATCGTTATCTGGTCTCGCTCAGAAACCAATTATGGAAAGTAAATCTGTCCACAGTATAGCGCAATGTACACGTGGGGTTTTCAGTGTCTGTATATTTTGTGAGTGCGGCAGGGCTGGAGCACCTGTGCCTCAGCAGCAGAAGGGAGCTGGGTTTGATTTCCACGTTGGGCCACGTTATCTGTGTGGAATGTGCTGCCCCCTGTTCTGGGAGGATTCTGCAGCATTCTCCCTGTAACTGAACCCACACAATGCAAATCGCTCAATTTGGATCATGAACAGCAGCAACTTTGTTACCAACTGTGAGCAAACTTGACAGGACCCTCCTGAAAAAAGTCTTGAGGTTTAGTGAGGCTCATCCTGCGTAAACAAGCATGATAATAAATACAAATAAACACACACAGGACACATGCAAGAGTAGTTTACCGTTGCTCAGCGGCTCCAGAGTTTACTTTCTCTTCTTGGAAGCCCTCTTCTCCAAAGCTCTGAGTAATCGGGCCCTGCACAGGAGTGGCGGTGGTGGCGGTGGTTGTGGCGGCGGAGGTGGTGGTGCTGCTGGTGGTAGCGGTCTGGAGCCAGTGTTGCTCGATCTTGGCGAGGCGCTGCTCCTCCACGAGGCGCTTTTCCTCCATGAGGCGCTTTTGCTCCACGAGGCGCTTTTCCCATCAAGTGCTCCTCCTCTTGACGTTTCACCTCAACGAGGCGCTTCTCCTGCATGAGACGTTTCACCTCGACAAGCTTCACCTTGCAAAGGCGCCTCTCTCAAGACGCTGCTTCTTCTCTTGCTTCTCAAAGAGGCGATTCTCTTCCTCCACCCGGTTCTCCTCTGAGGCGCTTCTCCTCCATGAGGTGCTTCACTTCTATGAGGCGCTTCTCCTCATCGACACACTTCACAATGGCAAGGCGCTTCACCTCAGCAAGTTAATTTACCCTGGCGAGATGCTTCTCTTCCAGATGCTTCTTCTTGAGACGCTTCACCTCACGGAGCCGCTTCTCCATGGAGCGCTTCTCCTCCATGAAGCGCTTCTCCATGAGGGGGTTCTTGAGGAGATTGTCTCGAAGGCATTTCTCCTCTGGGATGTGCGTCACCCTGGCAAGGCGCTTTATCTCAATGAGGCAGTCCTCTTCCATGGTGCGTTTATCCTTCACAAGGTGCTTGTTCTCTTGGAGACGCTTCACCCCGCTGAAGTTCTTCACCTCCCCAATGCTGCTCTGTTCACGCGAAGAAAAGCACAGGACCGTTCAGACATGCACACGCAGGACAATTCATACTCCCAGGCACACAAACATGGACAGGCACGTACACAAACAAAAATGCATACTCGCACATCTATGTACGAATGCAAACATGGACCTTTACTCATGCAAACATGCTAGAACACATGAATATACACCACCTAATGTTATAAAAAATACATGTTACATCATATATTCTCACAAGTTCCATAAATGTACTTAAGGCTGTGATAGTCTGCGACGAGTTCATGGCCATTGTTGGCAACAATTATTACGGGCAAAAAAATGTCCACAATGTTCGATTGTAAAGATCTGGAAGCCCATAATCTGGACAAATTTTACTGCAGCATCGATAGTAGGCAACTGGAATGGCAACTTCCAATCAGCTCACAGACGGAATTCATGAGATTGCATGATATCATTCTGTCTTCATTGGCTAAATAAATAGCAACTTGAAGTGCTTGCACGAGTGGGATATGGCAGCACGTGATGGTGGAGAGATGGAGTGATGGTGTCGGGAGATGGTGTTGTGATATGGAGGTGAAATTGTGGAATGTTCTGGAGAGATGGTGTCTTGTGATGGTATAGACGCATTATGAGGCGCTATGATGGTCTATTGAGTTGGTGGTGGTGTGATGAGAAAGTTGACGTGGAGAGATGGTGTGGTGATGTTTTGGTGCAATGGTGTGGTGAAATGGTGTGCTAGTGTGGAGTGAATATGGGGTGTTTGACCCCCATAGATCCCATAGCCACCTTTGGGGAGCGATGCTCGTAGCTTTGGCCTGGGAAAGGGTCCACTTCATCCATAATGTCCCCCCCACGTGGTCGACTGGCGCCACGACTCCCGGTCTATGGAGAACAGAAAATGCATTCAAAGGACGAGTAATGAATTAGAGAACGAAGCACATGAAGATTCACGTAACTAATTCTGAGGTCCCTGTAATTACCTCTGACCACACAACAGGACCTGCTATTGAGAAATATTCATCACATGGCAGTAAAACTTTACGCGTCATATTTTTGTAAGCATGTTGAGATCATCAATTTCATAAACTTGAGACCCCCATTTAAACAAATATGGCTGAAACTCAGATCTGGAATGAGACAAATTATTTTACTTTCAGGAATTTAATAGTTAAAAAATATTCTCAAAATCAAACAAGTAAAGCTCGATTTATCATTCCCCATTGACGTCCTTATCGATTGAAGCTATTCGTCCTGAAGTGAAAGCCATCAAACACAGGAACAACGAAAGTGAAATCCACATACATCCTGAAACCGATCATCTGCAGTAGTTATTATTAAACAATGAGGAAAATGAAGGAATTTTAAAATATATATTGGGCAAAGATGTGATCAGTCTTTTCCAACTTTAGCTCAACAAAACCACGAGAGTAAAATCAGGAATTGAACCACCTCACAACCACTGCACATCACACCACATCAACAAGTAATCCGATAGGA